AGATTTTGAATTGGAGAGCGTTGTTTGGACCTATTGGGCTTATCACGAGTCTCATTTTGATAATTCAAACTGTTTATTTTGTGAAGGACTTCATGTATTTTATTCACAAAAAAAAATAAATTAAGTCGATCTGATAATTATAATTTATTCAATTATCTGTCACAAAAAATATATGATTTATTTTAAAAACACAATTATCTTCTATTTTTTTAGTAAAAAACGTAATAAATTGAACAAGTCACAATTATCGAATTAACTTAATTTTTTTTATAACTGAAATATACAAAATATCTGATAAAATAAACAATTTAAATTATTAAAACGAAATCCATAATAAATATCATAGACTCAAACAACGCCTTCTAATCCAAAAATTCAAATTTTAGATTGGAGGGATCCTCTTCCTTGCTTAAAAAATTACCAATATTTTTTTCTTGGCGTGTACGTCTAACCCTGCAATTTTTTGAAAGTCATATATATATATATATATCTCTGGGTTATTGTGAGAGGTACACCTCAAATTTTGAATGGTCAGCTTATTACAAGAAATTTGAAAAAACAACAAACAAAAAACAAAAAACAAAAAACAAAAAAATTGAAAATGTGGTTGGAGATATGTATATGAGTTCACAATATATATACATAATTTTATTATTGTTTTTTAAAGATATTTAGTGTGCTTGATTTCAATTTTTTGAATTTAATTTTTTAAAAATTGAATTTCTTATTTTTTCATGTTTTTTATTTTTAGTGAATATTTTTAAATTTTGAAGTAATTTTTTTACTTTTTTTACATCTACCTTACTTAGAGGTATCTAAATAGTAAAATATTTATGAAAAAATATTTTAAAAAATTAATAAATACACAAAAATACAAAAAACCAACACGTGTGAAGGATTAGGCTCGTACTTCCAGAGTATACAAATGTGAAATATGCCATGAACCTAGGAAAGTTGAGACGGCAAGGCTAAACAATAAGCTACCTCCTCAATTCGCTCTAGAATCTCAAAAGGCCCAATAAATCTAGGAGACAACTTCCCGCTCTTGCCAAGCCTCATTAAGTCCTGTCTCAGTGATATCTTCAAGAAGACATGATCTCATACATCAAATGATAACGGTCTCCTCCTGTGGTCAGCATAGCTCTTCTAACGACTCTGAGCCGAAACCAACCTCTTACGGATAAGTACAACCTTCTCTGTCGTTTCCTGAACTAACTTAGGACCTAACATAGGTGCATCACCCACCTTGGCCCAACATACTAGAGATCTACACGGTCGGCCATACAAGGCCTCAAAAGGTGCCATGCCAATACACGCCTGAAAGCTATTGTCATAGGCAAACTCCACTAAAGGTAAATGCCTCTCCCACAATCCCTTAAAGTGATAAACACAACCCTAAAGCATATCCTCAAGAATCTGAATGGTATGCTTTGACTGCTTGTTCATCTGAGGATGATAGGTGGTGCTAAAAGTCAACCTAGTGCCCAAGGCGTTCTATAAACTTTGCCACAATCGAACTATGAAACATGGATCTTTATCCGAAATAATAGTCACAGGGACCCTATGAAGTCGAACTATGTTCCTAATAGAAAGGTCGGCAAGGTAATCTATCACGTCACTCATGTGCATAGGTACAAAGTGTGCTGACTTGGTTAACTGATCAACTATCACCCTCACGGCATCATTACCTCATTGAGTCCTCGGAAGACCCACAATAAAATCCATCGTGACATGCTCCCAGTTCCACTTTGATATAGGCAAGGATTGTAACAAACCCGCTGGCCTTTGATGCTCGGTCTTCACTGGTTGACAAGTAAGACACCTCGATACAAACAAGGCCACATCTTTCTTCATTCCCCTCCACCAAAACTGGTGACTAAGATCGTGATATATCTTTGTGCCTCCCAGGTGTACTACAAGGCGTGAATGGTGGAACTCTCGGAGTACTTCCTCTCTGCAAGACTTCGACACAAAAAGACAGTCAAGATATCTAATACTCAAGTCAAAATATAGGTTCAAGCCCTTTTCTACCTTCCCACTAGATATCTTTCCTCGGATAGACTCTACATCGTAATCACTCCGTTGTGCTTCTATAACTCAGCTCACAAGCGTAGGTTGTGCAAACATAGTAAACAAGGCTACCGACTTAACGAACTCACCAAGATGCAAGTCAAACTCGCCAATAGCTCCCAACATCTCCCATTCTCGGATGGCAATAGTAGCTACACTGCTAATGAACTTCCTACTCAAGGCATCAACCACTACATTGGCCATCCTCGGATGATAGTGCAAATCAAAGTCGTAATCCTCCATAAATTCCATCTAATTTCTTTACTTCAGATTCAAATCTTTTAGTGAAAATAGATACTTCAGACTCTTGTAATCGGAAAAGACCTCAAATCTCTCACCACAAAGATAATGTCTCCAAATTTTCAAAGCAAAAATCACTGCTACTAGTTTTAAGTCGTGGGTAGGATCGTTTCTCTCGTGTGTTTTCAACTGACCAAAGGCATACGCTACTACCTTCCCTTCTTGCATCAAGACATAACCTAAACCTTCTCAAGACGCATCACAATACATTGAGTAGCCCAAACCCCTCTCCAGAATAATCAACACTGGAGCAGTGGTATGTCTAACCTTAAGCTCTTGAAATGATTTCTCACAAGTTTCACTCCTCACAAACTTGATTCCCTTCCTCGTTACTCTAGTCAAAGGTGAGGTCAACCCAAAGAAATCTTTCACAAAATGTTGGTAATACCCAACTAACCCCAAGAAACTCTGGATCTCAAAGGCATTCTTAGGTTGTTCCCAATCTTGCACTACCTCTATCTTAGAAGAGTCCATAGTCACACCTTCTCTGGATACCACATGGCCTAAGAATTTCACCTCTTTCAACCAGAACTCACACTTTCCAAACTTAGCATACAATATGTGAGCTCTAAGCAACTCAAGCACAATTCGCAAGTGTTCCTTATGTTCCTCCTCAGAGGGTGAGTAAATCAAGATGTTGTCAATGAAGACAACCACAAAGCGGTCTAAGAACTCATAGAAGATTCGATTCATCAAATCCATAAACAAAGCTGGTGCGTTGGTTTTCCCAAAAGGCATCATTAGGAACTTACAATAGCCATACTATGTACAGAATGTCGTCTTCTGGATATCCTCCTCCTTCACTCTCAATTGGTGATAACCTGATCTCAAGTCTATCTTAGAAAAGAAACAAGATCCCTTCAACTGGTCAAACAAATCATCCATACTAGGTAATGGGTACTTGTTGTTAACCATTACCCAATTCAGCTTCTGGTAATCAATACAGGTTGCAGTGTGCCATCTTCTTCTTGGAAAAGAGAGTCGGTGCTCTCCAAGGAAAAGTACTAGGGTGGATAAAGCCCTTATCAAATAATTCTTGGAGTTGAACCTTCAACTCACTCAACTCGGTGGTGCAAATCTATATGGTGCCATAGAAATCGATGTTGTACTAGACATTAAATCAATAGAGAACTCAATCTCATGCTGAGGTGGTAACCTAGTGAGATACTCGGGAAAGACGTCTCGGTATTCACAAATTACCCTCGACAACTCTACTCGGACCACATCACTCTCAACACCCAAGAAAGTAGCAAGAAGAAGACTAAGTGTAACAACCCCACTTCGTGATTCACTACTAATATGTAATTAAGAATGCCTAATAAGTATTGAAGATGAAATTGTGGTTTAATGGTGCAACTTATGTGTTATTTGTGTTTCTATTTGTCTGTTGTAGGAATATCTGTCTAAAATTTTGTTTCGATATGCAAATTGATGGCCTTATCAGCATCCGAACACGAAATTGACTATGTCAAAGTGTTATTTTGGATTTTTAGAAATGTCAGGTAAGTTTAATTAAATTCTTATTCGGATCCAAATAATTAGAATAAATTAATTATTAAATCGAACTAGCTTAGCTTTAATCACACTTAATTAGTTTAAACTAATTCAACCTATAAATACATGATATAAACTTAGCAAATGAAGGTTCTACTCATTTCTTGAGACAAAACGTAGAGAGAAAAGGAGAGAATTGGAGATCAACACTAGAAAAAGAAGATTTGAAGGGAATTGGCTTGGATTCTTGTAATGACCTGAAAATATTTTTTTTTAAATAGTTAATGTATAAATTAATTGAGTAATATTTGGATTGGAGTGTTGTGTAAAGTTATGTGCAAAAATGGTTCAATTTTGTAATAATTTTTTTTAAACGAAATATAATTTTCGATCTCAGAAATTATAATTTTTTTTTTATTATGGTGTTCTTATGAGAGTCTAGTATGTTGAATAAAAATTTCGGAATTTAATGGTGAGTATTTATTTTATGAGAATTTGTAGACTGATTGGTGTTCAGTTTAATTTATAGCAGAATTTGAAATTAAGTTTTGTGTGTTTGGACCATGACTTGAGATTAGTTGTTGGGTCTACTTTGATATGTAATTGGGTGATGTTTGGCTTATGGGTGGGACCCATGACTTATATTTAATTTTAGGGACCTGTTGTAGTGTGCAACCCTTTAAAGGTTGCACACCATATGCAACTTCATTATTGACCATTAGATTACATAAGTTGATCTTGACGGTTGAATTATTTAATTTTGAAAAATTTGACACCGGAGCAACCGGTTGACAGATCTATATTCTCTCTTCTTGCATAGCATTCTCTCTACTTTCACTCTCGTCTCTCTCTTTCGCCCCCTCTCTCTCTCTCTCTGTTGCCCCTTCCTTCCATCTCTTCCCCTCGCTCCTCTCGCTCTCTTCTCTCTCTATTGCGCTCATTCCTCTCTCTTTCTCTGGCTCGATTGAATGCAAGCCGAAGTGGTTGTTCTGTTTAAAACCCTAATCTAACCAAGTGAGCCTCTGTTTGGTTTCTAAGAAAATAAAGAATTTTTTTTGGAAGAGCAATCAACAAGGTATGCCTCCCTCTGATTATTTCTGAAACCCTCCCTCTTCTTTTTTTTTGGAAGAGCATTCAACAAGGTATGCCTCCCTCTTATTATTTCTGAAACCCTCCCTCTTCTAAAACTCTGTTCTTTTCCAATTTTTACTCTGTTTTCTCTCTCTGAATTTGTATTCCAATCTCTCCTGTTTCACACTCATTCGAAATTTGTACGAATGAGTGTCTGTGTCTGTGTAACTTGATTTTGATTTTCATTCAGTTGGTAAATAGGAGAAATTATTCAATGCTCGTGGAGCAATGATAAATAGGCAATTCAAGTTGTTCTGAATCAAGTTCCTTCAAGTTGTTCTCAATCGACAGTCGACGATCTTCTGGAGGTGCGAATTGTAAATCTCTCTCTCTCTCTCTCTCTCTCTCTCTCACATAACGAATAGAGCTTTGTTCCCAATCTCTGTTATTGTACATTTTCGATGTCATCGAAGATGCTTTCAAGATCACACTGATTATCTGTGCGTGAGAAGAGTTCTCGTTGATTCATTCAAATTTGTTCGATTTTTATTATTTTGATTGCTGTTAAGAGTTTAATTTTAATTTATATTTTGGTCGATTGATGCTTATTTATTAATCTATGAATCTGGAGTGTTCTTGTTCTGTTTCTTTAGGTTTTGTAAGTTGATTTTGTGTGTATGTTTTTTCAAGTGTTTGGTATAGAACACAAAAGTTTCTAGGGATTTGATTTTGGTTTTTTAATTTTGTATAATTTTGAGTTTTGAAAGCTATTAATTGATGAAGCTAGGGTTTATGAGGTTAATTTGATGAAGCTAGGATTGGGTGGATGTTAATAGGGAAGGTGCATTGATACTTACACAACTATGGCTTTAGTTTTCGAGTTTGAATAAGACTTTTTGACTAGAAAAATAAAGCCCTAAGCAAGTGCATGTGGGTTTTCACACTTTGTTAGGTTGCTTTGACTTCATCCACTAGCATTTTATAATCTCCACCTCTACTTTTATTTTTGGGAAGCCATTCCAAAATGAAAGATAAAATTGAATTCATAAATTAAATTGTATCTAGGACAACTTGATAGTTTCTGACATTGATTGTGCCCTATGATGAGGTTGAGGTTGTTCACTTCGTAAGATGACACTGCCTTAATGAAATTCAATTTTTTATTTTTTTTATTTTTTGATAAGGACATCTATTAGGATAGATAAACAAGTGCTATAGTGGCTATGTTTCCTTGGTGGAGGCCCGACCTGCATGCTCTTTGCTTTCCAAACTAAACCTTGCGGAATTGAGCTGGATAGCAGCCTGAGTTTAGTGTTGCATGATATACTGTCCTCTGTCTCTATTCTCTTCTTGCTTCATTTTTTTCTTTTTTCTTTTTCTTTTTTCTTTTTATAAAATGTTTTGATCGTGTTTTCTTTTCCTTTGTCATGTTTTTGTTAGGTAAGGAAGAGAGACTCAAACTTTTAGTCTGTTTATTAAGACAATGCAACCTGCGTAGCTGCGGTATCATTTTTCACTCATTATTAGATTTTTTTTTAGTGTTTTTCTTTTTTGCGTTGGCAACTTAGTCCAAGTGTTTGTTAACTAGATTATTATTTAACAAATCCATTTTTATGTGCATGTGGTGCAATTGATGAATGTATTGTACAACCTAGATGGTGTAGGATATTTTCAATTCCCACATTAAGTATATATGTCAACTGATGAATGTACTATAACTTTTAAGATTTTTGTTTGTTTTTTCCCTAATCAAAGATACTAGAAGTTTATTCTTCTTGTCTTTCTTCACAAGGAATTCTGATTGAAGCCTGATGGATTAGTTACATGTGGTATAATCTATTTCTAACCATTTGCAATTTATCTCTATGCCTCAGTTACATGGATGTAGTTAGTTATTTTTAACCATGTGAGGAACTATGCTTTTAATCTTTGGAAGAACAAGGGATTGAGGGAGGTACTGTCTACTACCACCAGTTTTATATTTTTCTTATTTGATTGTGTGGAAAGTAGTACTAATGTTGTTAAGGATGGACCCTGGTTTTTTGGGGGGCACTTTCTTGTACTAAAAAAGTGGCACAATATGATGAAATTATCTAAGGAGAGGCTTGATAGAATTTTGATTTGGATTAAGTTGTTTAACATTCGTTTAGAATATTGGGATGATGATGGGCTTAGTAGGATTTCTAGTGCTAGAATTTCATTTGCTAAAATATGTGTGGAAATAGGATTGGATTCTCTTCCTACTGATTTTCTAATCAAATGTGAAGATTAGAGTGTTGAGATTGGGGTTGAATACCTGTGGACTCCATCCAAGTGCTCAAAATGTAAAGTCTTGGGGCATATGGAAGATAAATACATCAAAACTCGAGTGGAGAATTTGTCCAAAGAAAGTATTTCACAGAAGGTGTAAACTTTTGGTGACTAAAAAAAGTTAGTCATTTTATGTTCAATTTTTGCCGACGGCAAAAAAAATTAGTAGCGAAATTATGTTTTTGACTACAAAAGATTAGTCATTATTAATTAATATTTGTTGACAAATAATAATTTAGTTGCTAAAGGGTGAGAAATTTTATTACCGCATGCCCCTCTTCTCTGTTTCACACAAACACTTTCTTCTCTGTTCTCTCTTACACACATAGAACAGTCAACGCCAAACCTCACCTCAAGCCGCTGTGCTCGATTATCCGCTTTTACAAAGTAGAAGTCACATAGCGCAATGTCCTCAACTTGCTATCTCAAAAACTCTTTCTTCCATGTAGCCAGAATGCCTCTTGGCAACACCACTAGTGGTCTAGCATGGGGATACTTGGCCAGAAAACTCTGCATAAAACTAATTGTCATGAAAGCTTTACCAGAGCTTGGAGCGTGGGCCATGATGTAGCCACCTGGATTCTCTGTAACCAAGTTACTCAGTAGAAAATTGAAGCCCTCAACTTGATGGGGTTTCATCTGCTTTTTGTGCCTGGGATGAGTAGCGATTTCAGTGACATCAAAATCCTGTCCACATAATTTAACCCCATCATGAAATATTTCAGTTGCTTCCTTGTCCTTATAGTCCAGCCTCCATAAAAGTATGTACATGTAGACCTTGTGCCCTAAATCAAAAAGAAAATGAAGCAAATTAGTCAAAGAAAATCCAATAGGGAGAAAATCAGTAGCTTCATACCTACAAAAAAAAAAAAAGTTACGAAGAAAATTAAGAAACTAGTAAATTAGCAACATTGTAAAGCTACTAAACATATAAAGAAAATTGGTAGCTCCATACCTACTTTACTTATTCTGTCCTATGCACTACAAGTTTCTCTTTCAGTTGTATGATTTATTTTCTTGGAGCTGTTTGCTTAATCAAGAGTTCTTGTTTGCATGGTAGGATTTACAGCTACGCCAGGGCGTGTGTTGTATTTGTTGTCACTGTATAGGTCCAAACTTACTCAGAATGGGTAATAGATGGAGAGTATGATTGGCCTCCTAAATGCTGCCTATGTCATCCTGCGATTGAAGAGGGGACCAATCCTCAAACTATTTGATTGGGTTGCTTGCGTATGTGATCCTGCACATTGTTAAACCTCATGCATGCAATTTTTATCTTGAATGAGAGCTGAATGAATTATACCAAATTACTTACATTTTTTTGGGTTCATATTAGATATTATAAATACAAGCTGCTTGGGTTCACATATTAAGGTTTTTCCTCCACACACTACTCCAGCTGGATATACTTGTCCTGCCTGTCCCAACCCGGCATGACTTTTTCTTTTTATTTTTATGGAAGCTGACCAAAGTTTTATTTATTTCCATTCATTTCTTTTGTTTTTTAATGAACTTATCATGGTTGCATTCCTTTATTACTCTCTTGTCATGTACCTTCAAACAGTTAGGTTCATTACTACTTTTTGTTGAAATTTCCTAAGACAAGTATGCATGTATCGTATTTGTGTTTTGTTTTTATTGTATCAGAAGCTTCAGATAAGAAGGGATTCATGCTAGTAGTGAACCAGTGATACTTGTTGATTTACATGTAAGAAAGTATAATCACTGTGAATCTTGAAAAATTGACAATCATATCTGAAAGTAATCACGAGGGAGTATACAATTGTAGATTAACTATGCTCCAGAATCTAAAAAGCCTTGTCTGAGGCAACCCAAGGTATCAACCCCAAGCCTCATTTTGAGGCTGAATTTAAACCACTCACTGCAATAAATAGTAGCAGATAATCAGATCAATTGTGATGGCTCCATTGCTGTCAATTATTTTTTCATTTACTACGAAGTTTTGAGTTTTTTTGATATATATGACTCAAAATACTTCTTTTTGATGTCTATTTTTTCCCTTTTATTGCTTTAGATTCATACAATTGATGAAAATCAATTTTCATCGTAGATTTCCTTCTTAAATTTATCATATAGCTTTAATTGAGTTGTGAATATTTTTTTAAGCTTTTTACAAAATTTCAGAAAAGTAAAAGATGAGGAATGCCAATTTTCTGTTGACCAAAGTTAATCTGTTGAATAGAAGATGATGCCTTTATTTATGTTTTGGGCAAAAACTTTAAAGCCAGCTCCACCACCCCCTAGTTTTATATAACAGTCTATATTAGAGAATGTGTACAACACTCAACAAATGGTTGTTACACTTATTTGACATATTTCACTCTGATTAATATCTCAAATATGTAGTAGATATCTGAATGAGACAGTTTTGTGTGTCTTTGATGGTTATTTCTTGAGCTCAACAGGTGCAAGAGAAGAAAGTGAAGAAAATTTCTGACATGAACATTGACTGGTGTGTATGTGACATGGTTATGACATGGTTATGCCTCTTACAAGGGCTTTGAATCTGGGGGTAAATGTTAAAATGATCACTAGTGTGTATATTCTTTTTCTTTTTCATTCTTTTTAATAAATATTTCTTTCTGTTTTGCTGTTGAATACTCCCGGTCAGTGCTTTTAATCGGATCTGTTTAATCATTACAAAAAAAAAAAATTATGAGATGAAAAGATAGATATTTACTTCTACCAGATATTTGTGGCTGCAGAGTTCAAGTTATTGTCAGTGTGGGCGCTTACTATTTTAGTTCATGGCATTATGCCATGAAAAAAGTCTTGTTGCATCTTTTTTCTTTTTTTTCCAGAATTCTGTTTCTTAAAAATTTCATCTCTTTCTCACTATCTCCAATTATGGGAAATTGGCCTTTTTCATTTATTTTGTTTTTCCCCATTGGCATTGACCTTTTCAATCTCCACTAGGTGATCAACTGGCAATAGCAAAGGAAACAGGACGGCGATTGGGAATGGGAACCAATATGTATCCTTCATCTGCCTTGTTAGGACAGCACAAAGATGAGTCAATTGCAGCTTTGCCAGTTGACGAGCTGATTGAAAAAGCTGATGGTTTTGCTGGAGTTTTCCCTGGTAATGTTTATTTAATTTTTTTATCTTTCATTCCTCCTGTAAGTCGAAGATATTTTTTCTACTTTTTGGTTAACTATATCTAAACCTAGACCCTAGGCATAGCTTCCAAGTGAGAAAGGTTTGATACCTTAACTCCTTTAAGGAGGAAGCTAGACCACTTGGCCTAAAGACCAATCTGTTGGTATTTTTTTTTTTATGTAATACGTTTCAATTGTTGCATACACAACAGAATACTGAATTACCAGCACTGAATGTTCACCGAGATCTTCTTCTGTGATTCTTGTTTGATTGGCCATGTTTTATTTGTTGGTACAGAGCACAAATATGAGATTGTAAAACGTCTGCAAGCTAGAAAACATATATGCGGAATGACCAGTGATGGAGTTAATGATGCTCCTGCCCTTAAAAAGGCTGACATTGGCATAGCTGTTGCTGATGCAACTGATGCTGCTCGCAGTGCTTCTGACATAGTCCTGACTGAACCTGGACTTAGTGTTATCATCAGCGCTGTACTAACTAGTCGAGCTATCTTCCAGAGGATGAAAAATTACACGGTAAGTAGAGCTGGCTCTAGGCCTAGACAAGGAGGCAGCCATTTGAGAGTCCTGTACATTTTCAAATGGTGAAATGGTACAGCTTTTATTATCTAGGAGATGTGTGTCTTATTTGTTAACTTTATTTTCTTTTGAAAAAAAAGGAAAAGAAGGGAAATGTTATTCCTACTCCACTTCTTTATAAACGCACTCTAAAATTTGTCTTTTAGTGTGCATTGAGCCATAGGTATCAAACATATCTTTGTTAGCCAACTGTTGCTAGGACTATTCAAGTTACTAATTTTATTTATATCTTGGGTGCTATTGGTACAAATATATGCTGTTTCTATTACAATCCGTATTGTGGTAAGTATTTTAATTTGGGATGACCATTGAAAAACCTCTTTTAAATTTTAATTTTCACTTTTAATATTATTATTATGAAGTATTTGATGGATCCTCTTGTTCATGGCTTGTAGTTTTCCTTTTACTTACTTCCCTTTTATCTCTGCTTTGACAGCTTGGTTTTATGTTACTCACCCTCATATGGAAGTTCGATTTCCCACCCTTATGGTGCTGATCATTGCCATTCTTAATGATGGTTTGTATTTTGTTACACTAAATACACATTCCCTTTTCCAGTTACCACATGCATGCATATTTCTTCTCATTTTCTTCATTATCTTGAAATACTGCTTTTGTGTGTGGTTCTCAATACTTAACTCCCTTTATGGCATGCCAGGTACCATTATGACAATATCAAAAGATAGGGTGAAACCGTCTCCTCAGCCAGACAGCTGGAAGCTGTTAGAGATTTTTGCTACTGGAATCATTCTTGGCAGTTACTTGGCCATGATGACTGTCATTTTCTTTTGGGCGGCATACGATACAGACATTTTTCCTGTAAGATAAACTTATAACTAGATTAGATATCAAATGAATTTCACATTTTTTCTTCCTTCTAATTCATAATAAGTAAGCCCATTTCTAGTTCCTTTGTTTTTTGTCATCATCATACAATTGGTTTTGTGATCTGCCATTGTGGGATCATCTGCATTGGTTTGCCCTGAGGTGTTTTCTCCACAATTCACTATTAAGTTTG